TCTCAGTTCAGGCTCTGTTTCCTGGAAGGCCATGGTTCATGTTTCTTTCCCCCTCATGAGTGCTGCTTTGCAGGAAATAGTGACTTCCATTGAGAATCAAATGAAGATGGAATGCTGTGTGTGAGGAAAATGAAAAATTGCTTAACTCAAGTGGTTAGCTGTAAAATGTTGTTGTCCAATTCCACTTACCTGGGGATTCTTCTTGTGTCTCTGAGGACTACAGAGCAACGTGCTTTTGTCAGTGATTTCCTGCACTGCTCAGGCCCTGGTGTGTCACAGTAGCCATGGCTTGGCCCCATGGATGGCAGTGGGAGGTATTTTGTTTAGCTTCTTTGCTATTGTAAGTGCCAAGCATTTCTGTTGTTCTGCTGCTTAGTAAAGTCATTTAGTCCAGTCAGAGAGACCTCATAGTCCTTTAATGTTCCTCCAGCTTGCCTAGCTTGCACCTTGAGGCCTCAGTGAGTTTCCACATGATCTGGGAAAGAATTTTTAAGGCTGTGTTGTGGTGAAGCACCAGAAAAATCACAGCACTGAACTATCTCCCCCTCTCTGATGGGGACAGATGGAAGTTTGGGATTTGGATATGAATCTTCAGAATTCATTGAAAACCATTCAGCTGATTTTGCAGTCCTAAAACGGAGTGGGGAGATGTTGGGACTTTTGCCTAAAGGTTTGGAAAATTAAAACTATGGAAATATTAAATCAATAATTGTAGCAGGCCTTTTTTTTTTGAGTTTCCAGCGAAAGCACAGAAGGTTTTCTGTATGGAAGGAGAGTCAGTCCGAGGACAGACGCAATGCAGAGTCTGTTCTGCTTTACACTTTCTTATTCTCTGCCATTTGTATGCACATTGTCATTTATCTGAGAGCAGATTGACATTTCTGGGCTTCATATTTCTCTGCAAGTGTTAATCACTGTAAAAACGTCCTTTTGATTTACATGGGTTTTGCACAGGTGATGAGCAAACAATATCTGAAGTACCACTGGAACAATTAAATTGTAAATTATCTCAGCAATCTTGCTTTTAGATATAGGGTTCAATTCCTAGACTGCACATGAGAGAACCAATTGGTATTTTAGGAGCACATATTTCCTTTCTGATTTTTGTGCCATCTGAAACCAGAGTGTGGAAAAAACTTTGATAGGGTGTAATACTTGTTTCCATGTGTATTGCAGCTACAAACAATTAAATCGTTCTCACATGGATATTGCTGCTGCAATCATAAGGGTTCCTACTTGTCGTTAAGCAAGTGGGTCTGCTCTTGCTGTTTGCAATCGGGGACCGAGCCCGGGGCCGGTGCAGCCGCCGAGCCCCGCCCGGGCCGGGCCGGGCCCCCTTGAGCGCGGCCATGCGGCGGCTGCAGTGGCGCGGCGGCGCCTCCGGGTGCCGCTGTTGGCCGCCGCCGAGCGGCGCTGGAGCCGCCGCCGCCGCCGCCGCAGCGTCCTGCCCCCGCAGGCTGCTCGCTCGCCCGGCGCCGGCCGCAGCGGCAGCGGCACCGCCACCGGCAGCAGCAGCGGCGGCGGCGGCGGCGGGGAGAGGCGGCCCGAGCGGGCTGGCTGCGCTGCGGCGGCCCCTGCGCTGCGTGGCGAGAGCGGCTGGAAGGGAAGCGGGGCAGCGGCAGGAGGCAGGAGCGCGGCGAGCGCCGGCGGCAGAGAATGGCGGTGAGGCGGCGGCAGAGGCGCGGGCCGGGCGGCGGGCGAGCGCTGCTGGCCGCGGTGCTGCTGTGCGTGTGCTGCCGGGCGGCGGCCGAGCGGCTCCGCTACGCCATCCCCGAGGAGCTGGGCAGAGGCTCGCTCGTGGGGCCGCTGGCGCGGGACCTGGGGCTCAGCGCGGACGAGCTGCCGGCGCGCAAGCTGCGGCTGAGCGAGGAGAAGCAATACTTCACGGTGAGTGAGGAGAACGGGAACCTGTACGTGAACGAGAGGCTGGACCGGGAGGAGATGTGCGGCGCGTCGCCGACCTGCTCCGTCAACTTCGAGGCGCTGGTGCACAACCCGCTGAACGTTTTCCAAGTTGAGGTGGCGATCGAGGACGTGAATGACAACTCCCCGGCCTTCAGGAACGCCGCTTTGGACCTCGAGATTGGTGAATGGATTCCTCCCGGGACAGCTTTTCCACTGGAGGTGGCCCATGATGCCGACGTGGGCAGCAATTCTCTACTAACTTACCAACTAACCAGCAACCCAACCTTCTCTCTGGCTATGAAAGAGACCCCGGATGGAAGTAAGCCGGAAATAATTCTGGAGAGGTCGTTGGACCGAGAGAAGCAGAGCTCCTTTGATCTGTTGCTGACGGCGATTGATGGCGGGGACCCCGTGAGGTCCGGATCTGTTAAGATTCGGGTGAACGTGACGGACGCAAATGACAACCGACCCATTTTCGAGCAGGACCGCTACCGCGTGACCCTGCGAGAGGACGCGCCGCCGGGTTCGGCAGTACTGAACCTCTCAGCCTCGGATGCCGATGCAGGCACCAACGCCCGCATCACCTATGGCTTCGGGGAAATGACAATCAAGGCACTTCAGAAGTTCGTGCTCAATGCAGAGAGCGGGTCTATCACGCTGCAGGAGGCACTGGACTTTGAGGAGACCTGCGCGTATAGCCTGGCTGTGGAGGCGAAGGACGGAGGAGGTTTGGTGGCACACTCCAAGGTGGAGGTAGAGGTGCTGGACGTAAATGACAACCCTCCTGAAATCACAGTTCTGTCGCTCTCGAGCCCGGTGCCCGAGGACGCTCTGGTGGGCACGGTGGTGGCCGTGCTGAAAGTGCGGGACAGAGATTCGGGTGACAACGGTCAGGTGTCATGCGAGCTGTCGGGAGAGGCGCCGCTGTCGATCGTGGCATCGTCCGGCGGCTTGTACAAGGTGGTGACATCGGGCACGCTGGACCGAGAGCAGGCGTCCGAGCACCGCGTGACGGTGGTGGCCCGGGACCGGGGCAGGCCGGCGCTGTGGAGCAGCAGGGAGCTGGTGCTGGAGGTGTCGGACGTGAACGACAACGCGCCGGTGTTCGAGGAGGCGGCGTACAGCGCGTACGTGGCGGAGAACAACGCGGCGGGCGCGCTGGTGCTGCGCGTGCAGGCGCGGGACGCGGACGCGGGCGCCAACGGGCGCGTGAGCTACTGGCTGGCGGGCGGCAGCGCGGGCGCGGCGGGCGCGGCGCCGCTCGTGTCGGTGGAGGCGCGGAGCGGCGCGCTGTACGCGCAGCGCTCCTTGGACTACGAGCAGTGCCGCGAGTTCACGCTGGCGGTGCGGGCGCAGGACGGCGGCTCGCCGGCGCGCAGCTCCACGGCCACGGTGCGCGTCTTCGTGCTGGACCGCAACGACAACGCGCCCCGGGTGCTGTGGCCGGCGGCGGCGGCGGCGGGCGAGGCTGCGGCAGGGGCGCCGCCTCCTTTCGAGGTGGTGCCGCGTTCGGCCGAGGCCGGCTACCTGGTGGCCAAGGTGGTGGCGGTGGACGCGGACGCGGGGCGCAACGCGTGGCTGTCGTACGAGCCGGTGCAGGCGTCGGAGCCGGCGCTGTTCCGCGTGGGGCTGCACAGCGGCGAGGTGCGCACGGCGCGGGCCGTGTCCGAGCGGGACGCGGCCAAGCAGCGAGTGGTGGCCGTGGTGAAGGACCACGGGCAGCCGGCGCTGTCGGCCACGGCCACGCTGCACGTGGTGCTGGCCGAGAGCTTGCAGGAGGCGCTGCCGGAGCTGAGCGAGCGGGCGGCGGGCGCCGAGGAGGCGGCGGCGGCGGCCGAGCTGCAGTTCTACCTGGTGCTGGCGCTGGCGCTGCTCTCGGCGCTCTTGGTGCTGAGCGTGGCGCTGGCCGTGCTGGCGCGGCTGCGCCGGGCCGGGCCGCCCGCCGTGCTGCGCTGCCTGGGCGCGCAGCGCTTCTCGGTGGCCGGCGCCGCCTTCCCGGCCGACTTCTGCGAGGGCACCTTGCCCTACTCCTACAACCTGTGCGTGGCGGCGCCGGCCCGCGCCGTGCCCGAGGCCGCTTGGCCGCCGCCGCCGCCGGTGCCCGTCCTGTCGGCGGAGGAGCTTCTGGGCGGGGATTCCTGCGAGAAGCCGAGCCTGAACAGCAATGCCGTCGAGGGAGTGGTGCCTGCCGGCTCCGATGTACCACAGGTCTGTCATACCATAAGCTGTTTTCTCGAGCCTTTCTTTACAGGCTTTCTCGTTTTCCCCAGATTGATCCACTTGGCGTGATCTGGACAGTAGCTTTTGGTCAGTGCTATTTCGGTATTTATCCCAAAAGGGATCATGCATCTGGCTCTATTGATTGAGAATTTACATGTTGTTCTAACCCTCTTCTGCTTGCCCTCCCATGTTGTGAGAGAAGGCTGCTAGGTCAAGTGAGGCTGACTCTTTTTCCCCCCTGATATTTTTTGTCTGATGCAAACGAGTGTTTTAATCCTGTTTCCAAAACTGCCGTGTGATGTCCCATGTTTTGAGGGAATGCTCCTGCAGAAAGGGCAGCATTAATGGGACAGATAGATATTATTCAGTCATGATTTTTCAAAGGTCTTTTTAACAATTATTTGGAGTTCAAAGAAGAGCATGGTTTCTCGCTCTGCAGAAAGAGATCCACTGAGTCTATGTAACATAATTCCAAAAAGGGAATTGACACTTTTGGTTTGTTTGGAGGTCGGGGCATGTGTTTGCTTGTTATTTAAGGTTTTTTCCTGAGATGTGTGCATTTTCGACATGAAAGGAGAAATTACAGGTTGTTCCTCCCTGCTGGAAGAGTGTCGAATGTATTTGGGAATAAGTTTTCTTCAGGAGTGGTAGACGGGAATGGTTGTTTATTCCAGTCATAATTTTTCTCTGCAGCTCTTTCTGCAGAGCTGCGAGTTCCTTCTGTTCTCCTTGAATCTTTTGCAACCGTTGCCCTCTTTTCCTTGGATTTCCCCGGGTAGTGCAGGTTGTTATGGCCCGTCCATGTGTCCGAGAAGGAATAAAAGAACGAAGTGATTTCTTTTTCTAAGAACAGGCAATTAGCCATAGCACTTTATTCTGCGTTGGCCACAGCTTCAGATTCATCCAAGAGGCATTGTCTGCATCTCTAGAGTTGACTAAAATCGTATGAATTAACAACTCGTATGGGGAATTCTAACTGTGCAGGAGATTCTTGGTTCTTCATGAAGGAATCGGGGAAATAATGCAGATAGCAGCTCTTGCAGATTTTTCCCTAATGATCTGCTTATCCTGAAAATGTACTCTGGGACTTGGTTAAAGGCTGGGTACATACCCCTTTTTAACACTTGCTCGGTCTTGGATTGCAGAAAGACTCGTTTCTCATGGATAGAACAGTGACAGGTTCTCCTTCTAGAGTAAAAAAGAGATTGTCACTCATCTTTTGCATGAACGCTGTTGCAGAAATGGCAGGACTGGTACCATTAGCGAGATGAGTTCATTTTGCTAGTTTTGTTTACTTTTTCCATTCTGGCTGGTAGTTCCCTCTTTTTCTTTAACCTTTCCTCGTATTTTCTTCATGCACATGTGTCAATGAAGACTGAGGCCTCAAATAATGGGGAAAAATTTGTATATTTTTGTTTCCAGGTCTTGTTCCCTTATCCTTCTATCAAAACAGAGTTGTTTTGACCCTGTAAAGGGAATTCGTTCTCTTAGGGTTTTTGTTTGTTTGTTTGGTTGGTTGGTTTGTTGGTTTTTGTTTGGTTCCCCTTCCACCCCTCCCTCCCCAGTATTTCTTACGAATGTCTATTTAAAAGGATAATGAGTCTCTAAGATTCAAATATAGATATCAAATGTGCAGGAGATTCGCCAATTGACACTTCAGGCACTTGAATCAGGTATACTTGAAAATTTATCAATGGCCATCAGAGTCTAAGGTGTGCAGCTTTAATTCTCTTTTCCCGCTGCCTGAAAGTATTTTGTTGAAAATGTGCCATAGCTACTTAAATACACAATAATCTGAACAATGTTTTGGTAACGACCCCTTTGCATCCTTATTTCTGAGAAAAGAAAAATGTCTTCCTGGGATTATAGAATGACTTGATTGAATATAATTATGTATAAAATGGACAGGTTCAATACAGGAGCTTTCCTGTCTCCTGGGTAGTTGTAGATACAGTCAGCACAGAGTGATGAAGTAGCCTACAGCTGTATATCAGAGACGGTTTTCTTTCGCTGCCCTTGCGCCGGTCATTCCATCATGTCTTCTACAAATATTTGTGGTGAAAATTCTGCTTTTGTACTACTGCGGTAGGACTCGTAATGCTCCGTACGTCCTATTAAAATAACGCCATTACATCTCACTGCGTGCAGTGCCGGGAGGAGGCTGCGGGCGCCGCTGTTGACCGAGAGGAGCGAGCGGGAGCTCGGAGCGCCGCAGCCCCGCCCGCTGCGGATCGGTTCTCTCGCTCTCCCGGTGTGTGAGTCGGCGGCGGAACAGTCTGCGGTCGTTCCCGCGGTGCGGAGAGGTGCTGAAGGGAGTCGAAAGAGCCTGGCAAGAGCGCTCGGGAGCAGAGCGCCGGAGCTACACCGCGAAGCCAGATCGGTGAGCGGCGGCGGAGAGCTCCCGGCAGTGTTGCGGTGCCGCAGCGGAGATGTGCGCGGCGGGGAGGCGCTGGGGCCGGCGGCAGCGAGCTCTGCTCTGGGCCGTGCTGCTGGCAGCGTGGGAGGCGGCGTGGGGGCAGCTGCGCTACTCCGTGCCCGAGGAGATGCCCAAGGGCTCGTTCGTGGGGGACGTGGTCCAGGACCTGGGGCTGCAGCTGCCGGAGATCCGCGATAATACCGTCCGTGTTGTCTCCAAGGGTAGGATGCAGTATTTTACCCTGCACGGGAAGACGGGACATTTAGTGACGGCACAGAGGATCGACAGAGAGCAGGTGTGCGAACGTGTGCAGCAATGCGTGCTGCGCTGTGAACTGATAGTGGAGGGGGAAATGAAGTTCTATCAAATAGAAGTGGAAATAACAGATGTTAATGACAACGAGCCCAGCTTCAGAGAGACGGAAAAAGAATTAAGAGTGAACGAGATGACAGCCCTGGGGGCGAGGTTTCCCCTCCGAGAAGCACAAGACCCAGATTCAGGCAGGAATTCCCTGCAGAGCTACGAGCTGAGCGGTGACGAGCACTTCTCGCTGGCCGTGCAGGCGGGCCCCGGCGGCGATCAGCGTCCCGAGCTGGTGCTGGCGAAGGCGCTGGACCGGGAGGAGGCGGCGTTTCACGAGCTGGTGCTGAGGGCGATGGACGGCGGCGATCCGGCACGGACGGGCACGGCTCGGATCCGCGTGACGGTGCTGGACGCGAACGACAATGCGCCCGTGTTCAGCCAGGCGGAGTACACGGTGCGTGTGCCCGAGGACGTGCCCGTGGGCTCTGTCCTCGTCACTGTCACGGCCACCGACGCCGACGAGGGTCAGAACGGGCAGGTGAAATACAGCTTCCATAAAATTTCAGACCAGGCATCGGAACTTTTCCACCTGGACGCTGAGTCAGGAAAAATAACGGTTAAAAATTATTTGGACTTCGAGGAAATCTCCTCCCATGAACTTGAGGTTCAGGCACATGACGGAGGAGAGCTTTTTGACACAACGAAAGTTATTATTACAGTGACAGATGTCAACGACAATGCGCCGGAGATTTCGGTGCAGTCAGCGCTGAGCGCGATTTCCGAAGACTCCCCAATGGGGACGGTGGTGGCCCTGTTGCATGTACAGGATCTGGACTCGGGGGCGAACGGAGAGATACGTTGCTCGCTGGATGGGGATGTCCCGTTCCAGATGCAGAGCTCTCAGGGCAATTACTACAGCGTGGTGACAGCGAGAGAGCTGGACCGGGAGCAGGTGTCGGAGTACAACGTGACGGTGCGGGCTGCCGACGGCGGGTCGCCGCCGCTGCAGAGCAGCGCGGTGCTGGCGCTGCGGGTGCTGGACGTGAACGACAACGCGCCGGTGTTCGCGGAGGAGCGCTACAGCGCGCGGCTGTCGGAGAACAACGCGGCGGGCGCGCTGGTGCTGAGGGTGCGCGCCACGGACGCGGACTGGGGGCAGAACGCGCGCGTGCGGTACCGGCTGGCGGAGGGGCGGGTGCGGGGCGCGGCGCTGTCGTCGTACGTGTCGGTGCAGGCGGAGACGGGCGCGCTGTACGCGCTGCGCTCCTTCGACTACGAGCAGCTGCGCGAGCTGCAGCTGTGGGTGCGTGCGGAGGACGGCGGCGCGCCGGCGCTGGCAGCAACGTGTCGGTGCGGCTGCAGATCGTGGACGAGAACGACAACGCGCCGCAGGTGCTGTACCCGCCGCCGGCTTTAGCGGCGGGCTCGGGCGCTGCGTGGTCGGGCGTGGAGCTGGCGCCGCGCTGGTCGGAGGCCGGCACGCTGGTGGCCAAGGTGGTGGCGGTGGACGCGGACGCGGGGCAGAACGCGTGGCTGTCGTACGAGCTGGCCAAGGCCACGGAGCCGGGGCTGTTCCGCGTGGGGCTGCACAGCGGCGAGGTGCGCACGGCGCGCTCGCCGCTGGCCCGCGACGCGGCGCGCCAGAGCCTGGTGGTGCTGGTGAAGGACCACGGACGGCCGGCGCTGTCGGCCACGGCCACGCTGAGCGTGGTGCTGGCCGAGAGCGTGGCCGAGCTGCTGGCCGAGCTGGGCAGCGCGGCCGCCGAGGCGGCGGCGCCGGGCGAGCCGGCCGCCAGCCTGACGCGCTGGCTCGTGCTGGCCGTGGCCGCCGTGTCGTGCCTCTTCGTGGCCTTCCTGCTGCTGCTGCTGGCGCTGCGCCTGCGCCGCTGGCGCCGCCAGCAGCTGCTGCCGGCGGACAGCGGCGCCCTGCGCGGCGTGCCCGTGTCGCACTTCGTGGGCATCGACGGCGTGCGCGCCTTCCTCCAGTCCTACTCGCACGAGGTGTCGCTCACGGCCGACTCGCGCAAGAGCCAGCTGCGCTTCTCGGCCGGCAGCAGCTGCGACACCCTCCCCGCCCGGCCGCCGCCCGACGAGCCCGCGCCGCTGCTCGGCGACGAGGATCCTGCCGGCGCTCCTCCCGTGGACTCCGCCTCTGGCCCGGTGAGTTTCTTTGAACCACACTGTTTCGGCTCTCTCTTTCCACACTCCCTTTCCTGCTTCCATGCTCTTTAATCCCATAGTCAATGTTCTAAATAGAGTGGAGCTGCCCCTTGTTTTAGTCTCCACGCTTACATGGGGCAGAGAAAATGGGGCAGGAACTGTGAGTGTGTTGCTGATTGGAGGTTCATATCTGGTGTTTCTTATTAATCTCTGTGTTTCACGCTGGTTACTGCCTTGGTCTGTCCTGGAGTACAGCTTCCCCTTTGCTTTTGCGATCTTGAGGTTTCTTCTTTGAAGTGCGTTAGGTCAATCTGCTTGCGTATTACGAGGGTAAAACCAAAATGTGCACATTTTGGAGGATTTGTCCATCTGTATTATTACACAATATGAATCTCTTCCTTACCAAGGCAAGCCAATATTCAGAGCGTTAGGTTTGTCTTTGTATTTATTTGCAGGTTAATGGGATGTATTTAACTCAGGTTAATGACAAAGTTGGAAATATCGCAGTGTCAGCTTTAGGAGGAAGAAAAGGATTGTTAGTTCCCCACTCAATGCCTATGCCATAACCTTGAAGTCTGTGGGGTGATTACTAGATTTCTGCAGGTGCTAATTTCCTGCATTGCTTCTTGGGCAGTTCCAACTCTAGACCATTATCTATGATAGTACCTGATCAGATCTGTTGGCTTTGTTACCGATTAACACTGTGCTGAAGGTGTGTTTGTGCTGATACTCTTTGTCTGGGTTTTCATCAGATCTTTATATCTCTTATGCACTTGAGAACATTTTACATTTCTTTGAGTAGTGTGAAAAGGGGAGAAATGTCTTTCATGTGTTAATATTTTGACCTTTGTTTTTACATAAGGAGAAGATGTAAATTTTTTCAGAGATGTCTGTTCGCAAAGGCAGTTTTGATGTTATGGGGTGTTTGGGCAGAGTGAAATATGGACCAGTAGATTCATCAGTTTGCTTTCCTACTGCATGTTCTTCCCAGTGACTGGTGGTTGAACTCTGCCTTGCTTGTTATGATGAGGTAAAGGTGGGACTGTTTTATGTCTGATAATATATGTGTTCTGATATCAGCAGAATCGATGCTCTTGCTTGTCACACATTCATGGTGAGCAGTCAGTGCAAGATCAGCCAGAGACTGGCCTAAAGCAGGAAAAGGAAGTGTTGTATGTTCCACCTGGCTGGGGGTCTCTTCATGTTGTGGCGACTGCCACGGCCTTGCCGCTTACACCAGGTGCCCTTTTCCTGCATCTGCAAAGGGGAGGTCAATCCTCTGATGAATTTATCTGCAAACAATACCAAAGGAAGTGCAAATTTCCTTCAGAAACTCTGTGTGCAAGAATTGCTGCATGAAGTATCATTTTTTCAGCTAAATGTCCTTCTGTGTCTGGATGTAGAATTTAATCATGGTTGAATTATGCTTTTCTCAGCCTTGACCAACCTTCACATGTTATTAATGGCTTTTGTTTTTTATGAAGTAACTGTTGGTGTTATGTCATGTATTGTGTGAGTAAAGGCTGTGCACACAGACAAGGAGGACAGAGGCTGGCGTTAATACCAGGGAAAAAGGTGAATCAATGCAGTTTTATTTGATGCTATTCCCTGTACCAAGGCCTGTGACATCTTTTCTGCAATCCTGGTGTTTCTGTTTTTAAAGGCAGTAGGAGTCCTCTGATCATAGAGCATTCTCCCAATAACTCTGCATTTAGAGAGGTGATGCATGGGCATATACTGTGGATGAGTGATTTACATTGCTTAGAGAATCACTATCAGAGATGTCAAAAGTGGTTTTAATATGCTTTTGTAGAATGCTGGGAATGTAAGGGATAAGAAGGTACTTCTGCTAGAAATTTACTTGTCATTTAAAGTATGTGCAAGAAACTTACTAATTTAATCAGCTCTTATGTCTGATAGGGCTCTTCCTGAGAATGTGGGTCCTAGGATGTAGACATAAATTATGCATTCATTTTTGCAGAGTCAGGTATCTTCTGAAATGCCCTTGTGCTGACAAAGAATTATATTGTCATTGAGTTGATTGTGAAGACTGAGACTTTAACTGAGCCACGTGTAACTAATACCCAATAGAATATTTTATATTCTGATGCATACATCTGTATGATGATCCTTGTTCTCCACAACAGAAGTTATGTGAGAAACATGTCTTTCAGTGATGTCAGTTTTCAAAAGTAGCTCCCCTCCTGCATGATATTTGAGCACACCAAAGCATTCTGCCTGCACGAAGACAGGACTGGTTTTCTTGGCTGAGGTTTGAAATGCCTAAAAGGGTGGTGGAAACATTCTGTTTCCCCAGTTTCTCATATTAATCCCATTCTTGTGCTCATGTGCATTTTCAATTTCTTCTTCTCCAAAGAAACTACTTGGAGATCTGTCCCTCTTGACACTAGATACTCCTCCCTGTGTACCTGCTACATTTGCCACAGCCTGAAATGTTAAGCTATAGTTTCTTCACTTCTGTGGTCTTGTCATTCCTTCCTTGTTGCTTCTCATGTTCTAAAACTGGATCTCAGTTTGTCTGATAGATCTTGAAAAGGAGATCTGTAGAAAATAATGGGCTGGTGGAATAGTTTCTATTCACACTTTGAGGGTGTTTAGCTACCAAGACAAAGACTTTGATATACTTCAGGTTTCATAAAATACTGCTAAACTTCAAAGTCCATTTCTTTTTCACTTGCAGCTGATGTAAGACCAGCAGTTGGATTTGTCCATGGTGCAACTGAATACTGTGAATGCAGAGCAAGAATTTGAATTCCTACTAGGAAATTAGGTGGATTAATGTGGTTTTGACTGAGGACTCATTTGATTTCATGGTGTGTAATTTTTGTCAGTGATCCTGGTTTCCCTGTTTTGAAAGACAATGGTAGGCCTCTGGTAACAGAGCATTTGTCCAATAGCTCTGCATTTTAGAAGATTGACACCTGATTAGATGTCATTAAGGAATTATTTGGATTGTCTAAAAAATCTCTGTCAGATGTATTATCAAAAGTGTCTTAATATGATGTTGTGGAAGTGTGTCTTTACCAACAAAGTTTGATGCATGTCCAGCTACACTTTAGGGAGGCCTCAAATTGGACCCGTCCAAACATCTCTTTTCAGTAAAAGATCTCCCTGCCTTGAGGAGCAAGCATGACAAGTGTCCCCCATAATGAGAGCTCATCACCGCACAGCCATGCTGCCTAGCAGGGAAATTTCAGAAAATAAATATGGCAGCTCCCTTTGGCTTTATGGGATAAATAGTTTGGCTTGGAGTCAAATTGCATAAACCAGGAAAGGGCTGTGTGAGATTCCTTGTACCCACAACTTTCTTTGCTTGATAGAGGGAAAGACCCTTGCACATCCCTCTGCTTCTTGGAGAGTTTCCTAGAGAAGTTCTTGCTCAGCTTTGACAAGTTTCTAATTCCTCTGTGAAACCTGTTTATCTAAATTATATCTCCCTGGAATATTGCAACGGAGAGTTTGTTCAATGTGGTAGTAACACTTCCTTTTAGGCATATTTTTCCTCTGGAAGGTCATGCCTCTTTTTCCCTGGTTTTGGACAGTGCTTTTGCATCAGAAGCTGTGAGTGGAGTTTTTTTCCATGAAAAACATACTTTGGTCACCTAAGAGAAAAATTCTATGTGTGAGGATGAAGAAACATCATGTATAAGAGGGCCTGTTCAACATTCTCACAAAACTTGCCTTGACCAAGAGGCCCATGATAAAGCCTTTAAAGTCAGGGCTTCTTACCGTGAGGTCCAGAGTAAGACCTCTGGGTATCACTTGCAGCTGGAGACTTCAATAACTTCCAGATGCTCTCAGAAATGAATTTCTGTGGTCAAGGTGAAAATTGAGCTGATCTCCTGGTGAGCTTCTCTGAAAACATACTCAATGCATCCTTGTATTGCTCATATATTTGCTTTTCCTTTTTCTTTCCCTCTCCATATGTATGTTTAATTAGAAGTAGTGGCAAAACTTAATTTGCCAAGGCCTTGTTCTTTAGTGTGTGTTTAGTCATGTTGTAGCTGGTGAGGGAGGCCGGAGATGTGAGTGGCTGACCCTTGAGTTCTAGTTCAGAGTGAACAGATGTAAATGTGGCCTTAGAGTAAGTCACAGTTTTGTGGAACAGTGTGTGTGATAAAAGAGGTGAAGAGATTCTCCTAAGTGAATAGTTTGATGACCACCCCACTTTTAGTTTGTCCATTTATCATTCCTGTGCTTTTGAATTTTATTTTTTTTCAGAATGGTGGTGATCAGACAACTGTATCTCCTTTTTGTGCATTATCATGATGCATTATCTTCTCATGAGGTATAT